CATTCATTTTAAAAATATTCAGAGTGAGGTACATTTAATAGTTGTCTCATTTTAGTAGATTTAATATTTAATTTATAATCAAATAATATCTTCGTCATTAAAATCAAAATATTTTCTAAGTCCAATGCCCTCTAGCTAATATTAAGGAAATGACTAACAGCATCCACTTCATCTCGCACAGAATGATAATAGCCGAGGATTCATAAAGTGTAGCTTAAGAGTTAAGACAACCGTTCGGACACTAAGATGCTTATGCACTTACACTATACGTCTAACGACGATAGCAGTTTGTCGATAAAAATAGAAAATTTGATCATATTTGGACAGTATTTTTGTAATATTGGATTAAGCTCTCGGTTTTTGAGCATATTTTGATTTAATCCTTCCGGTAGGTTCAGCCCTTCTTTTTAAGCTCTTAACAGTGAATAGTTATAATATAAAAATTATTTTGGTAGGCCACAGAAGTAGGAAGTTAAGACGTAGAGATCGACAAAACACAAAACTAAAGAGACGCTATTTTAACCAATTATAACGTTAAGGATTCCTATAAAGGAATTAAAAAGCCCAAACTTATAGGACTTTCAAGTAATAATCATCATCAGGTCAGCTCCGTGATATCAAATTATCGTATTGTCATACGGTTTTTACATTTACTTATAAAGTATGAAAACAATACAATAATTAGAACAAAAATATTTACCTATTATAATAGCTTCTACCTTTACAGCGATATTAATCATAATTTTCTCACAATCCAAAAAATACAACAAAGGAGCATAATGAAATACAACACTATCGCACATCAATATCTATCGATAAAATTACTAGATAACATCACTAGCCGGCTTCCTAAGGCGCGAAGGGTAATGATAGGATTTGCAAAGTGCCGCTCGGGCGCCGCAAAACGACCACATTGACAGCAAATCGAGATTAATATGGACATTATCGATAAATAACAGATGGAGTAATGCACCGCACTAAACGCTATTGCTCATAGATCGACGTCGAATATTATAGAAGTTAAATGTTAAACATTTTACATAACTTAATATTTTACCAAATAAATTAGTTTATCGTAAGTCTAGGCAAGGGTACAAGTTTTTAAAAATATTTCCAGTTCTTAGATGTTAATTATAAAATATGTATAAATCAATATGTATAATTGAATACGAAATCGATATACTATACTTTCATATGGGTATTTGCAGGACAAGGAGGGTATTTACGTGCTCTCCGAAGCACGGGGGTTAAACACCGCCAACTTCCCAACTCCGGGCTGTTACTGAGACTTACTATACAGAAAGACTCAATAACTAAACTTGGCCCGACCCGGGACTCGAACCTAGGACCTCCGATGTGCAGCCGTACATGCTAGCCACTACACCATCGAGGCAGTTAAAGTATCATACACATAGTTGAAATAAAAAATACTATAAGACGATCGCCCCGCAAATTCTGGTCGACAGACCTATGATGTATCTACTATTTATAGTATTGAATATCTTTAAGGTATTGTCATCGTATAAAAATATCCGGACACATAGCAAATCGTTCAATCAAGAACATAACGTCTCATAGATAATGTCACTCTAGCCCATTCGAGTGGAAAAACGAGATGCGATCGACTGATAAGAAATCTGCTTTAATTATCGATTAAAATATCGATTTTTGCAAGAAAAACAATGCACTGTTAAAAGGTCACACAATGCGTGTTTTGAAATAATTACCTTGATAAAAATTAAATAGTCTACACTCTACAGCATGTTACTATTTAAACAAGATATAATAATAAGAAGATATAGAATATCAGTAATTGAAACGTTTAATTAAATATTGTTTAGCCGTGTCTAAACCTACTTTACAATCATAGATAGACTTTTAGATTATAGATAACAGATCGATATCCTACGAACCACATCATTTATTTACTTAAAAAGTATACCTACTAATTCAATCTTCGGATCGCAAATCACGAAATCAATATATCAACAAACATTTATATTATGATATTAATATGAATAAGTAATGTCATAAATATACATTTCTACACTTCATGGTCGCAATAAAATTTTTATAGCGAATATAACCGTATGATGCATCGAATTATTTGTCTAGGACGGAAATTGAACCCGTGATATCCAAGTATGGTGTCACTTCAAAGGGCCAAATTATTATTTAATATACATATATTTTACCAACCGGATATATCCTCCCTTCAATATCACTTCAAAAGTATTTGTATTTGCCATCCTTAGGGATGATTTTTTTTACAGCAATAAAAAAAATTGGCCAGGATATTGCATAACATACCTACACATAACCCTAAATCCCTGTTATACCTACTCTTCCTTCCTTTTTGAAGTCGGTGAGAAAGGATCACACGAGACGAACATTGACAAATGACATTCGTTATCTATACAATAGGATCGGCCTCACGCAGTCGTTTTAAAAGTGAAACCCAAAAAACGAAGATTCAAATATAATTATTCCGGCGTCTTATTAACTCTCCGCGGGAACTCATTAACTGATTAACACGTGTTATCCCGTCGTTCACGTCGCTCCTACTCTCATGTAAATCTGTGATATTAATCGCTAGCATTAATACTGGGGGCTGGCAAGTGGCAGGCATCTGATAGTGGGTGGCTTCAAATAAAAGGAGTTTATTAAAAAATGGTCTCAGTAAGTCAGGATTAAAAGTATTAAATCAGGTTATTGATTTTAATTGTTTAGTTGGTGACGTTTTTAGCTCTCAATAAATATTATCGATCGTTTATTAGTAGTTACGAGTTCGTGTATCACCAAAGCAGATACAAGAATGAAATTAAGGGGGCACCGAGGCAATTACGAAATAAATGCGTTCGTTTGATCCCTTGCTGTATTGTTATTACTAAAACTTTAATTATGCAATTAATATGTAGGATATTTAAGGATTTATTCTGTAAATCGTATACTTTAGGAACATGATTACTTGTAGTTTCCTCTATAGAAAAAAAAATCCAAAATGATCTCTAAAAAACAAAATAAACCCTTAGTGCGGCGTAAATAATTCAAGGAAATTCATCAGGTTTTTAAAAATAAGAAAACTATACATTTTCTATATCGTATACACTTTACATTTTCAAAATGTGTATTTGTTTTAATAATACGAAGGAAATACCTAAATTCGCACGCGTTCCGTCCATCCAAGCCACACCCCCAAACTAATAAAAATCTCGGTGCCCTCATAAATGGCAGCTCATTGTGCCTGTACTGTTTCATTTCATTACTAACGTTTTAAAACATTATTTTACTAATATAGTAATAATGGTAAATCCCAAAAACCAATCTATCTTTTCTTTTCCTTACTAGCGATAGTAATTTGACGTATTCTATGTAATTAACCGACTTCCAAAAACGAGGAGGTTCTCAATTCGTCGGAATCTTTTTTTTAATGTATGTTCACCGATTATTCGAAGACGCCTAAACCGATTTGGAAAATTTATATTTTGTTTAAAAGGGTATACTTCTCAGGTGGTCCCATATAAATTCTATCGAAATTGGTTGAGCGGTTTTTAAAAAAATCAACAATAAATATTTTTTTAAACAAATTGCTTAATCGAATATGTTATTAAAAACTTTCTTCCTACAAATTACCTGCTTATTACACTAAAAATATAAAAATAAAAACTTAAAAAATAAAAATAAAACCGACTTCCAGGCACTAAAATGTAAAAAATAACCAAAGGGGGTTTTTTATTTAGAATAGATATCTAATCAGATATTTTCAAAGTCTTTAATTAAACTTGAATGATAAAAGTACATGAAATAAAAGTATATTTTTCTATTATAGTAAAACCACAGTATATAATTATGTGCTAAATATGACGTCTTTGATATTAAACAAATGTGTATTTCACACACAAATGATACACATGAAAATTTTAACAGTTTCTATAAGTACATCTATGTATAACTAATAAACTTTTTGTGATAAAAAAGCTTGACAAAAAATGAAAAAATGTCTAAGGAGATTTTAATTCAACATTCATTAGCTAAAAGATTCGAGTAAAAATGGTGTTTTAATGCAAGAATGGCTTATGCCAAGACTTTGTATTTATTAAATTTATTGCTGTCTTAGAACCAATTATCTGTAATATTTGTAAACCAATGAATTATGTGTAATATTTAAAGACAGTCACAGTATTACCTACTTTAAAAATAAGGAAGTACTTTTGACAGAAACGGCTGCTTTTTGCATACTCATGTTATGCAAAATATTTGCCATATTTAATCATTTTTTTTTATAAAGGTATATATCTCAGGTGTATATATCTAGGGTGACCCTATATAAATTTCAAAATTATTCCACCATAAAGTGTTAAATAATTACTGGCAATTAATTTTGGAATCTTTATACCATTATTATTAGTATTAAGTAATTATAATCTCATTGTTTTCCAAGAAAAATAAATTAAAGTTTATAAAAATGCATATAATAAACATTATAATTATTACCAAATAAATTTTATATAAGTATAATAGTACACTTACTTAAAAATTTAGTTTTTGTATATAAATAAGATATATTGCATATTTCATATAATAGAATAGAACAATTGTACAAGTTTGTGTATTATTATTTTGAAATTTCTGCATGTTTTATTTTCCATGAGTTTAAATAATTCATACATACATTCATAAAATAAATTACATCCTGATGTGAATTAACTTATTTATCAACCATGTAAATAGTCGTAATGTTACATAATTATCTTTTATTTATAACATAATAATCACCGATAACACCATACGTTCAACATGGTCATTTATCTTTAAATAAATAATCTCCTCTAAATTGCACGTTTGTTTACCTTCTAATCAATACCAACATGACAGTGACGTTTCTTATCATAATTTTAATTCACTACAATTTTATATGAACTTTTAACAGATCCGCGTCGGTGGCGTACGGAACGGGTTTATAAATAGCTGATACCAGTCTAAATATAAAAATTACCCACCTTAGTTTTGAGCGCGTAGACAATTCCTCCATGATTGAAATTAGCGGCATACAACAATACTCCCCCACCAAAAATACAAGCACACGCCTTCCACACATTTTGATACGATCTATTGCACTTAGACGAATGTAAATTACGCGATAAAGCCGGTAAATATTGTAATTTTCTAAATAAATTTCCCGATGTACGGCTTAACGTCGCCATGTTGGTAGAACAGCTGATTGACGTTTGACGTGTGCGAGTGAGAGGGCCTCTACAGTCTACTGTCAAATTCGGAGATTATAAAGCAATAAAGCGTAGTATTTTATGAAGCATTGAAAAGAATTAAATAAAGATAAATATCTTGTTTGATTATAAGTTAAATGATTAAATTTTCACAAAACTAACATTTTGATGCCACAATAATACAAAAATATTTAAATGAAATGTTATATTATTAATTTCAACTTGGCAAATAATTTTCAGAAAATATTGTGGTGAGCTCAAAAAGTATTATAATGAATAATAAATAGATACTAAAATTTGTGCTGTGTAACTTTTTACTTATAATACGGTAAAAAAATATTTTTGTGCATTTAAAGGAGTTTTACAATTTAATATCATTGATGTGCAACAAACTGGTATACCTAAATTATGCAAACTATTATTTTTTTTCTTTAGTATAGTAATAATAAAATAATATATTATTCAAAAATTTATTATTATAAACAATCAACCCATATAATAAAATATATAACAGCCTAAACTTTTTAGTATTCTTTATTCATCTTTGGTTTCTAATTCTTCTTGACTTTCATGAACAATGATCTGCTCCACTTGTGGTTGTGAGACTTCCATCTCTTGAACGGAATGTAACAAGACTCTCTTTACTGTTTCCATACTGTCATATAAACCATATTCGGCTTGCCATAATATTGTAGTAATTAACTGTTGTACATTACAACGAGCTTGTTGGTTATTCATTTTTCTCAATTTATTGCCGATATAATCTCCAAATACAGAGTATTCATCTTTTCTTGGACTTCCATCAATGATAATTCTTTCAGGCCTTTGATAGTTGCTGGTGGTATTCCTCACAACATATTTAGGTTTAGCGGGTGGTGATGTGACTTCTCTTTTTATTTTTCTATACTTCATTCTTTTACGCTGAGGTTCATATGTTTCAACTGTTTCATATAAATCATCATTGAGCCATTCTTCGTCAGAGCCTCTGCTTCCATGCATCTGCCGAACTATATTTATGGGCTCTTCGTTTCCATCATTGTGGTTTTCATTATCAGTCTCTGAATTTTCTAGTACATCCACCTAAAAATACAAGTAATTATTACTCAAATAAATTATAGAAGCAATGTTATGCATACATAAAGTTGTTTTAATTTATTATATTAAGAAATTGAATGCAGTTAGGCATTATGTAATACTCCATGCATTGAAAATGTGTGGAGTAAATAATCTAATATCTGATAATAATCTAATATCCACTGTACCAAATCGATCTAAGGAAATAATGCGCCTAGGGCTCTAACTCGATGCCGGATAATTCGATAATATAAACACTGATAACAATAACCTATGCATTTAAGAATATAAATACCCGTTGTATTTCGATAACTGGCATTGAGTTCTCCGTGGAGACATTTCGTCTATCTCGTCTGTTATTAAGATCAACGGAAACAGAATAACGTACATTTTCGTCTTTGTAGCTCTTTATATATTTCTTCCGTTTCGCTGCGATGGATTGGTTTGTGTTATCGCCGTCGTCGAACGCTCGGAAGGCGGTCTCGTCGAGGGTCCCATTGTGCAGTAAATCCCACTGTATCGGGTGTTTGTTCACTAGATGCGTGCGTAGGTTGGTGGTGTTTCCGAAGTACTTATATTGCGTATCACACAATTTACACAACACGGCGACACATCTCTTGTCTTCCTCCAGCCGGTCGAAAAACCGCCAGACCAAAGATGATGTTTTCTTCATATCGATTACCGATTAGTGATCAATTTGTCGGATTATAGTATGATGATTATAGAATTGTACTCGAGTAAAAAACGCATCGATTCTTGATACCTAGCGCGGCGGACAAGATGGCGATCGATGTGAGCGAGCGAGCGCGAGGCGAGTAGCGCTGGCATCGACCGCGCACACTCGACCTTCACTCGATACCATAATGGCGCTGCGCGTCACTCGGCCGAGTTCGCGCGCAATCCACTTTATTATTATCTGTGGTATTTATTATTTTTTTATTTTTGTTGGTGAAAATGAAGCTGTTTGAGGACTAATCTTTTGATAAAATATTATTATTAATAACATAGAATAATATTATATGAAATATATATTTATTTGAATTGTTAAGATAATTTTGTTAACACTTTTATTTTATTCACAATGATTCATAAAAATATATAATAATAAGTCATCACATAGACTATACATTAGACTAGACACTATATAGCGAACACACATCAACTATACATAAAAATCTTACTTTTCTACTACTACTACTTTCTAATCTACTTTTTGCCGGCTAGGGTACCCCTCCGCATCGTCCCATAAGGAACTTCGTTCTAAAAATTTATACCCGAATATTTATTTTCTTTTTACCTCGATTGTAACTTGAAATAAATATTTATGTAATAAGGAACTTCGTTCCTATCTGGTGTCCCACGATACTACTTATATTTTTGGAACCATTTAGATAAATATATGTATGTAGTAATTTCTTTTAATGTAATAGGATAAATTATATTGCGGATAGTATTAACATTTTATCATTTTTAGGAATCGAACTGTGAACGCTGTGTCTCTATAGTCTGATTTTTAATTCCACGGAAATATGACAGCTGTCATTCTTTGATAAATCAGATACCATAAACCTTTTCTGCTTTGAATTTTTTTAATATAAAATAACAAAAAAATTGAAACAGAATTAGATCAAGTAAACTATATGTATGTATGTCATTGTAAATAGTCTTTGTTTTGTGCATTCAATGCACACTAACTATAATGTAATTTTTAATGGTTAAATGAAAAAGAAAATATAAGAGTAGAACAAAATATAAGAGTAAAACAAAATATAAGAATAAAAATAGTTATTAATTTAAATTAATCATTATTACTAATATCATAATTGTCGTCATCATCATCCACTCGGATTATAAAAGAATCACACACGCTATCCATCAGATCATTACGAGGGCACATTTTATCCTTTTCTTTAATAATAATATGGTTTATGCATTCTTGCCAAAAATAATAATAAAAAATCGTGAACGATCGTTGTGGACCTGTCTTTTTGGGACTTTCCAATTCTTTTTACCAATTGCAAAGATTTTACAAACAATTGCAAAGGTTTTCCTAAGAAAGGCTTGCAGCCTATGTATTATTGGATAGGGATTCCTGTAATAGAAAAATAATTTCCTTAATAATTATTGTAACTTCGATAATATGATAATAAAAAAAAATTACCATTTTAGAGTTATGAATAGTTTTTTAAGTCTTAGTTTTTCTAATTGAAACCTTAAATTCAAGAAAGGTTTTTTTTTTATTTTGCTAAAATGCTTTCCGTTTTTAGTGACAATTTTTCAAAGCTGACAACATTTCTGAAATGTCAGAATTCCGTCGAATTAAAAATCAGACTATAATCTCTACTACAGTAGATATCAACTCTAGAATTGTGATATGGACGTTTCTCTAAGCACAATGCTCAATATTCTTTAAGATATATGTGCTTATTTGCATACTAGTTCTTGCCTGAGGGTTCGTTGTTAACCGACTTCCAAAAAAGAGGAGGTTTCATGTTCTTCTGTATGTATGTTTTTTTTTTGTATCTCCATCCAAACTTAATTCAAATCCGCTGAGCCGTTAGAGGCTTAAGCATAAGCAAGTTATGTAACGACTGTACCTACTCCAAGCCAACGTGTAATTTTGGGGTTATAAACATATTGTTCAACCAGTTCCTGTAAATCATTGCTTGTATTATATAGTTTTCTAGGACATTGTTTTGATGTATCTCTTATGGTTTAGTCAGCGTTAGCCATGCAAATTTCTAAGATCGACTCGACAGAACCAGTTCTTTTGTACAATATTTTTTGTGTGAAATGCACAAAGATAAACAGACAAACACACAAAAATTTCAATAACTATTATATTGGGGTCCTTATTTTGTATACAATACGTAACAAATATTGATAAAAAAAAATCATGTAGGTACAGATTTCGCTTTATTACTATTTTATTATAAGTACCTGGGCTACCGAGCTTCGCTCGGAGTTTTTGGCCTGAAGTACAATTTTCTTCTTTTTTTTTAAACTAAAACTTGAATAAATATTAAAAAAAAAACAAAGTAAAGACTTCGTATGCAACTGAGATTCGAACCTGGACACCTGTGAATGTTGATCTTGCACCTTGTCCTCTTGACCACAATGCTTATGCCCGAGCGTGTAAATTACCGACAATACTTATTTTGCGTCGAATAATGCAAAAGAAAACTGCATGAAAACTCGAAAACACGCGTTTTCTCAGACATAAGACTAATCTAGATCGATTTATCGCCCCCGAAACCCTCTGTATACTAAATTTCATGAAAACTGTTGAAGCCGTTTCCGAGATTCAAATTATATACTTATATATACAAGAATTGCTCGTTTAAAGATATAAGATATGTACCTACGTATAGATTACTGTTAAGTAAAACTGTGAAATGCTTTCTTTAGTTTCGAAAACAGCCATTAGGAAAAGTTTATTTGTTTTTAGTCGTCTGTGTATTTTTTTTGTAAATATATTAAATGTAATTGAATTGGATTATATTTTTTATATCGAGAATTTATTTGCTACTTATTAATATCTTTTATATAATACTTATTTATTTGTGCTGTCTTTTTTTTTATAAGGGTCTAAGGTTTATAAAGGATTTACTCTCTTTTTTTATACAATATAATTTAATAGTAGGTAGCCATTTATACATATATACCATACAATTTTATTTAAATACCAACCAATCTCCCTCGTGTCTTCTCCGTTCTGCGTGACATTGGCGAAGTAGTATGTGTTCAACTGGCACGCTTTGAAACCATTAAAAATAAAATAAAATTGAACCAGTTATTGAATAACTGATGTTTGAGGTATTTAACTTCAGAGTGGTTTATTTAAGTATTATAATACATTTACCTCTACTGGTAAGTGTAAGGACATTAGATCAAGACAGACGGACAGACAAAACGTACGACATATTACGTCCTAACCTAATCTATAAAAGAAAACACAAAAATCTTGAATGTACAAACTTATTTTTTTTTTACTTTGACATTTTTTTGGCGATTTTTAACGATATTTTTTTACTTTCCATAGGAAAATGGAATACTTATAACATTATATAATTTTCATAATAATTACATCAGTTCATAGTTTTTAACACTTGTGAATAATAATTTAAATATTTTTTCATTTGCAGGATATTTATAAAAGTTTTATCAAAATCAGTTCAATAGTTTCTGCTTTAGAAAAATAAACAGAAAGGCATAAAAAAAGAAAGCAAGTGTTTTTAAAACTAAAATGTGGATTCAGAATAGTGTATTATTAATACTAAGCACATACCTAATAAATTAAATAAAACAACACAATATTTTAAGAATCATTTTTATTTATCTTTCGGTATAAGAGGCTGTAAAAAGTTATTGTCTAAAAGTTTCGATCAATCTTCTTTTGGTAAAACTACTTAAAACGTGAATCGACTTTCTACGTCGCGAACATTTAAACGATCTTTGAACTTGAACGGCAGCATCCGACTTTGTATACTGCACTAACGAATATATTATAATAATTATTGTAAAAATGTAAAGGTATCGAAATTAATTAAGTAATACTGTTAAACCCCCCTTGACATTCCCCTTATATTTACAGGGAAAAAAGAGAGGCGCTAGGAGCCATTAATTGGTGGGAATAGTTTAAAAGCATTCCTCCAGCTTTGTGTCTACCTTTGTACATTTTGTTTAACTTTATCAGCTTATTGCGATTAAATTAGTATTTTCGATAATTTTACGAACGATTACGGTCATGACGAGCCGTTTTATATATCGATTATATAAATTAAAGAGTATTATGAATAGCTAAATGACTCCTGTTACATCCCGTCTCTTTCCCTTTTGTTCGAAACGATTTACATTGTGCGAAACAGAACACGACATCTCCGCGTCGGTAGCTCGGTACATCTATTACAAGTAGGTTATGGCACATACGTATAAATAACATAAAATTAACTCATATTTTTACAAAACGACAAGTAGGTACCATCATGTTCGAGTACACTTGCCTCGAGTGAAGCGTGATATTGGCTCGACATCGAGGGAGGTGTAACCGACTGTATTCAGTATCGTATGTATTTAGCTGTAAATAATTAGGAATCGAATAACCACGTTACAGATAAATGTAAATGACACAATTTTCTTACGACTTCTATACAATATAAAACTATAAAACTAGGTACTGTAACGGAGAAATTTCACAATACCGAAATACTGCTTCTACTTCTAAAGATCGATTTATTTAATTTATCTACAATATCGATAACGATAGGTATAATCGATAACAAACCCGAATAAATTATATAATAGAAAATGACAAAATCGGTACGTTCAGTTGTTAATTTGATTAAATGCTTCAAATCCTGTACAGATTTGTCGTTTGCATTCGACAGTATACAATAGAGTACGTCATAAATTAATTAGATACATTCACGCACACACGTTACACGCGTACGCATACTCCGCGGTGCGTCGGTACGACCAAAAAGCTGCACATATTCACAATTTCCTTCACTCACCGAATCAGCGAACTGTATTAGATAAATAGATTATTTTTTTTTGTTAACCCTGTAAATTACTGGCAGTGTGGTTTCAATTAAAACAAAAGAGTTAACTTAGCATAGTTAGCGCCACGTAATTTGAACCAAAAAGGCCGATCTCTTGTCATGGTAGTTGTGATACCGCCGTCTTAGCACAATTAATCTGGCGAGTTTTAAACCATTATTCATAGTAATTCTTAGTAAAGGAACAAATAAGTGGGTCACGTAGACAATGACGAAGTTCGCTGACGCAGTGTCACAGTGTAGAGGCAATACATAACTAAGTATCAAGAATGCGAGGGAAGTAACTCGCGAGACTCGCAGCCGACACGACGCTCGACGCTCGTACCGCGACACTCGCACCACTGACCAAGTTAAATAATACACATAAGGCTGACTAAAAGTACAAGCGTATGACATCCTACACATCTACATCGGATGGAACTAGGGGACAAGAGATTAAAATCAACTAAAACGTTAACAAAATACGACTTTCTCTATGGAAAATAAAATAAATAATTTACAAATTATTATTATTATAGATACACGTTTTATAACTAACTACTAATAGTCACTTCGTTAATAATTACCACTAATTCAATTTAGTTGGCCGAGGCGAGCGGCGCCGGGCGGGCGGGCTAGTGCACTAGGGTGCTAGGGCGGGCGGGCCGTGCCTCGCTCGCCTCGGTCCCACCACTAATAATACAAAGCTTGCCGTTCGCCGCACTTTACGCTATCATAGCCTATTCCCAAACCGACAGTACCTACATTACTCAGTCATATTTTTCAGTCAATTTCTTATGAAATTACACCTCGACATCCCTCTAAGTACAAAAGCTTACTACTTTCCTGCTCGTGTCAATTCGGCAATCCTTTACATTAGATGACAAGTCGCGGCAGTTAGTCTCATTTAATTTAATTTACATCGAAAGCCATTTTTCAAACTGATTTCGAGCAGCTCCCCGCATGTGAAAATTACGACTGTTTAGGATTTTCGGTGACGATAAACGCGTTCCGTCATTTAACGGTACCCGCCGGCCGCATCGCGTCCATTAACGGATCGCTTAGGGTTAATTATTTGAAATTTAAATGTCGGCTAGCGAGTAGAATCGAGTGATATATAAACAAACAGACGGTGTGAGACGGCGATAGAAATAGACCCAAGAGGCGGCGCGCGACGCGGCTTGCGAGTTGCCGCGAGCAGGAACGTCTAACACAGTTCCACCTTACCCAACTGATCTCGACTCTCAGCGGATCCTTCCATTAACTCATAAGTTAGTAGTAACATCTAAGTTATTTTTATAATAATTTCACGATTACTAAGACAATTGGAATCTTTCCGATAAACCTACGTTTTAAAGCGAACTAGGAATACAAATTGAGATAGATAATTTCAGCTTTGGTAGAATAATATCATTCGTTACTGTAATCGAATCGAGTGGCGAGCTACCGGGGCTTGTTCAATACGATTGAGTATTTAGAGTACACGTAGTGAAGTTTAGCGGGTCGCGTGTTGTTGCGTATGGTAGCGCGTGGTCGCGGGAGACGTGACCCGTGTAGGGTGGAACGGTGCTAGTGTGCGAGCGCGACGGCAGCCAGCGCGAGGAGGCTCACGCGTGCGCGACCGCCTCCTGCGCGGTCGCCGAGCGAAAAAACTCCGCGTCAGTGGTGGACATGGTGGACATGGTGGACTCGTCCCACCCCACCTCGGTGGTGGTCGTCGTGCTGTTCTCGTGCCCGTGTTTTCTCCGCGCTTTGGGATGCCGCTTTTTCTTGGGGTCGTTCGCTTTCTTGTGCTTCCGTTTTCGCAGATTCTGCTTCTGGACCCGTCGCTGACAGTTCCTGTGGAAAGGCGGCGGGCGCTTGAGCTTGCCGCGGTGGCGGCGCGGGGGGCACTGCGATTGCCGCGGTCCGGCCCAGCGGTGGGTGAGCGTCAGCGCGTAGCCGGACAGGTTGCCCAGCGGCCGGCTCACCGGGATCTGCGTCCTGCGCGCCCTCCCTCGATTGTCGAGCGCCAGGAACGTCTTCTTCCCACCTCGTATCCTCGAATACGTGTTGTAGTTATTCTCTTCTATGTGCTCCTCGAACACGCAGTCGTCCGTGAGATCCTTCTGAAACAAATTAATTTTGAATTAAGTTAGGATGATACAACCAGGTTACCATGATTTAAAGAATTATTGGACGATTTCCATTTGTAACAGATTATCTTCAATAAGATATAGAAGATCTGTACAATTCTAAAATATATTGGAATACACAGCATTTAGCCAGATGCATAACAAGATGGGAAAGCGTGCCAGAGAACTATTAGTACCGATTCAAGAGCCTATTATAGGTTTCTAACTCGGACTGGCTGTCGATAAAACTGTCAAACGGTCGGCATCTAGTCTTTAGGCACACATCATCCTGTACAAGGCGTGTCCGACAATTTCAGAGCTAAATTGGTGCCACCCTTATAGGAGTAGCGTTCACTCCATTACGTATTACCGGGATTCAACAAATTGGCTATTTTATTCATAAATATGTATAAGTGAATAGCAGCAAAGGCCGCAAGGTATAAAGGCTCTTAAATTGTCCCATGACATTAGCTTAGCTTTCGTATATTGTAGCTAGCATTATTCTGGAATATTCTCACCGGGAGACACTCCACCGCCTACATCGGTGTAATATTTTATATCGCATTATCTACTGATATTTTCCGTCACCTGAATGCTTAGCTTTTAAGGAACGGGGTCAATCTTTTAACTTTGGAGTGAATGTCTAATTATCTAAAACTGACCTAATTTAAAATACTAGATTAATTAAGTTAGAAGTATTTAAGTTAAGGGAACTGAAAATGTTTCAAATAGGTATGTTTTTCACAAAACCGAGTATTCTGTAATTATATATATTGTATATGGGAAGATAATAATATGCTTTGCGAGATATCTAAGGTTTAGTGGAGAGGCGTCTTATGCCGCGTCGTTTTGAAGTGACCGCTAGTCTGATACACTTGACGGTAATTTGTTACATCGGAAGTAACAAATAACAACCAGTTGTGAAATATCGGTTAAGAATATGCGTTGACTTTCAGTTCTATATTTAGAACTGATAATTTATTCATATACTCTATACGCTCGAAAATACAGTATAATTAGTTATTTATATTATAAGTAAGATAATGTTTATGTGAGTCATATAAATGTATACAAATGTTGGAACCGGTGGAACGTGGAAATTAGTGTTAGTTTTTATAGGAAACTACATCATATTTATGTACGTTTTTATAAAGTTTTTATTTTTTATAAAGATTACTTTACGGCAACAAATCCCAGTCGTGATATCTGTAATAATTTAAGTCGAGACAGGTAATGAAGTGCAAACGAAAGTGAAAAATAAAAATAAAATAAAAAACAAACATAAAATTCTGATTCACGCGTCGTATCTATTAAAGCTCGATATATTCTCCTTATAAGTTAGCGCGTATAATAAATGTTAGTTTCGTATGCGAGTAAGTACGTCGTGAATTTTCTAAATTCAGCATAAATTTGCTACTATAAAGTGAACTGACGTGGGAAATATAGGCTTAGCGCCCGGCGTCTCCCCTGGAGAGCTTCGCGGGGGTCAGGCGGCTCTTGAAAGCCTCGAGGCTGTATGAGATTAATTCTCACTTTAAATCAAGGAAATGCATGTTCTGTCCCACTGTTATCAGACCGAGAAGCTTTAGAGTTTACAGTTTACAGCCCAAGTACACAAGGTCGGTCAGCTAGTATTTTAAATACAAGTTGGATTCTGTGATTTTAAGTTATTTATTCCGTTTTAATATATTTAATAAAATATATTTATTATGACACTTGTCTGCTTATTGTGGAAATATGTAAACGTAAATAATAATTCATAAGTATGCTAAATCTTTGGTACTTTGGTCTTAAAAACTTCTATCGTAAAAATTGTTAAAGAACGTTTGTGTGCTAAAGGCTATTATACAATAAATAATTTAATAGAAGATGGCACGCCTTGGGAATTAAGTGATCGCCTCCAGGCTACTTCAATTTGATAGAAATATTGTAATTTATAACTTAACTTTATAAAAAAGATAACGAAAGTCCCGCTGAGTTTCTTTCGCCAGTTCTTCTCAGGTCTGAGGCTTCTTCTTTCCGAACTGGTAGTAGACTGACGTTCAGTAAAAAAATGTAATAATTTAATGCTGAATAAAATATTTTGAATTTGAATTTTTATATTCTTACAGTTTATTTTTTTATTCTTATTGTTTATAGTAATAATATGACATTTAGTGCTATAAAAATACTCTTTATAAAATATTGATACTGATTACAGAATTATACTTTTAGTAAAGAAAGACTTGCTTATATTTGCAAAATGATTCTGACTTATCAAAGAACATTAAAACTACAATAGCTAATAAGATAGCATTTCTATTCGTCTCCTATTCGTATTTACAAATCGTCAGCGTCGTGATCGTTAGCGAACTGTAATCTTCCCAATAAATTCACGATCAAAATCAAACATTTCCCGCAAGAGTTAGGAACAAATCTTACTTTGCCTCATTTGGATAAAGTTCACAGTGGGGTGGAGTCACCGACAGCGATGTATATGGTAATTCTGTCATTTGTCAGTTCCTTTGTTGCTCACGTTTACAATATTGTAGCTGTGGTTTATTAAACGGATTAAAGTAGCCACCAGCCGGTATTTATGAAGGAATATTTCAAGTAACAAAGCAAGTACGCGGTACACGAGCGATGTCATGTCCCCCGTGTGCGGAGTACAACGTATGTGAAATAGACATGCTTTTGCGTCTTCGAGAGTTTTGTGTACAAAAATCTTAGAAAGATTTATGCAGCTAAAACTTATACGGTTTTTATTCTCTTGAAAATATCCTTCTTACCTCTTATTCTAATTCTCTTATTTTAATTTTTAATACATTTTCGTTTGAAATAAACAAATATTATAAGTATTTAAACATAATGTTTTACTATTTTTTAAAATAAGTCTATAATTATATAACTAAAAAAGAACTTCGTCTGTTGTTTTTTCTAACAACACATGATTATTTCAATGGCGACGCCTACAAAAAGGTTTTAATAGCTTAATACGTCTATATAAGCACTCAATCAAGATCCCGCTGGTCTAAATATTGTTCAAAGCCGTTATCTTATCACGAGAGCCCATTCCCAATAATAGCCGAGACACTGTTCGGAAAATTAGATCATAAAGTGACGGTGTGAATGAAGCCTAGAGATTCAGTCGAGAGATATCGACTATCGATAGAATATTCCAATTAATACATTTGTATTCTATTTTCCATTCTTCGATGACTTTATTTCATTAGTAAGCTTTTGTCGGCTGAATGACTTAAGGCAGCAACCATGAACGTTTTATGATGCCTATAAATTACGCTGGAGTTTTGAAATTCTATAATTATCGCGTATTCGTGCGTAATGGACATTGTCTTAAGACACTGTGAGATGAACGGTTTTAATTATTTTAATATAGTTGAAAAAAGCTAATATCTCATAGGAACCTGTTGAGGTCGATTTTACGGACCACGAATTATAAAAAATCAAATTTTATTTCTATGAAAAATCAAAGCAACAAAGCAACAAATACAAGACATCTATAATATTACTAGCGACTCACCGGGTTCGTCCCTAGGTACGTTTAAACGGTGAGTATGGAATAGTTAGACTATATTATATATACATGGGCATTATGAGTTGTTGTGAGTTTTATTTGTTTTCGAAAATCAGATAATCTCCCGCGGTAAAAATAGCCCATGTCAACAATCTCCACACAAAAACGCTAATCCATTACTCTGTTTCTACGTGAAAGAAGGACAAACAAACGAACACATTTTCAAATTTATATTATTAAGTATGGATAGTAAGTAACTGAAAGACGAATGGAGGCCAACGATAACGTTTACTTGAAATGTGTTTATCGGGAAATTATACTTAATAGAGACTTTCTATATCAAGGAATAATCTTAATACTAAGTGATAGGACGCGATTGCGAACACCTTATAAATATGTTGATTTTAACATCTACCAAAGCATGCGATAAATGTCAGCATATGAAATGTAAATCGCGACTGGTCCCCAAGAACGTGTATTTTCTAACGAGAATATTCTAATTCTCTCCACGCTAATGCAGCGATGCCCGTAACGCTTACATTTATTGTCGATGATAAATCGCACCAACCTCTCGGGTCAAGCGTGTGATCGAGCATCGCTACAGACAGACTATCGATAGTGCGGATGGGGACGAGGGGCGGCACTAGTGCAGGGGTTATCGTTGCCGATCTTTATGTCAGAAACAATCGATGCAGCCCTGACGAGTCTTTCTAAAGGACTATACGAGAAATTTAATTTCCGACTCTATCCCGACAACGCTGGCATGTCAGATGTCAATAACGGAGCGATCGTAAAAGAAATTTATTCGTCGACAGACAACTCGACGTTGTGATCCTTGCGATCTGCGTCCTTACAAATCTATATACAACCGTTGTTTCACTTTATTTAAAATTTTACATACAAGTATGTCATGGCCATGTTTTTAATGTTTTTGTCGACACTTAGGTCGGTCGTAAAAAGAAACAAGTGTCGGGACAAGCTGAATAGCTAAGGAGGAATGTTATTCGTACGGTTCTCAAGGGAAAACTATAAATCCCGAGCTGGTGGCCGCTAAAATTATATCGACGCAAAAAATCGGATTCCACCACATTGAGTTCAGAAATCTATCATCAAGCTCCGAATAAATTAACACTAGATTCGCAGACGAAAGGCACCCGCCCGCGGATATTTGCTCAATAAACTAAAAAGCCTCAAAATTTATAAAAATACTTGGAAATGGTGCAACCCATCGATCTTTGAGCCGCCGCTTCTCGGAACTGCCGGAGATCACCGTCTCGTTAACTTGCTCTGATTCCGGCGCCATTCTCCACTGAATTATTCCGTGTTACATGTTTTCGTTTATGGGGTTTTTGTATCCCGTCCTCTTTTGTTCGGACAAAAAACGGGTGAAGTCAAAGCCATTCATTTTTAAACTTTCATTCTGTTCATTACAAAGTGCTCTAATATACAGCGATCCGACGCGACTGCAAATTTTTTCTTT